GGATGACAGAGTTCATGACCCTCTCAACATTCCCCACTTCATCCTTTTCTATTCTTCATCCTATTCAAATGGATCCTGACCCTAGGCAATCAGACATGAAAGCCTGTCCGCCCCTGAGTGTGCATGAAGCGTATCTGGTACTACCTCCAGTCAGCGCAGGAGGTGTAAGAGGACTTCAAAGGGCAGGCCTGAGCTCAACTTCAGCTGCATCTCCAAAACTGCCTGATCAGCTGGTTCAAATGGAGATAGACAGCAGGGTTGAGAGAAGCCCACCCAGGGCAAGGAGCAGTGACTCCTTATCCTGAGCTTCCAAGTATGGGTGACTCTGGGCTCATGGCCACCAGGTAATAGAAGTATCCTCAATGGAACCTCCTTTCCTTTACCCCTCTCCCCAGCCAGCAGAGCTCTGGGTCTGCTTAGGCCTCACTTCTCCTGGTCAGAATGAAAGAAGGCTGCTGAATTCCCGCCCCCAGGGAGCACATGGTTCACTCTGAGCTCTGAGCCAGGGTTGCTTTCTTGCGTTGAGGTTTCCAAAACTCCAAGTTGCCTTGCAAATCATCATCTCATCAATGAGCATGACCATCTATCAGCAGAGAGGGACACTTCAGTTCTAAGGATGGCTGGCCCAGGATAAAATGGCACTTTATTTAAGTTCCCACAGGAAGGAAGGAAGGAAGGAAGGAAGGAAGGAAGGAAGGAAGGAAGGAAGGAAGGAAGGAAGGGAGGAAGGAAAGGAGGGAGGAGGGAAGGAAGGAAGGGGAGGAGAGAAAGAGAAAGGAAGAAAGAGAAAGAGAGAGAGAAAGAACAAATAAACAGCATTTGTTTTTAATAGCAGCTTCACTGAGTAAGCACCAACTATGGGCCAGGCATCATATTCTGCTTTATACACATGATCTGATTTAATCATCACAAGAGTCCTATAATAATAGCTACTATTATCATCTTCAATTTGCACATGAGCAAACTGTGGGTCAAAGAAATTGAATAACTTATCCAAAGTTAGAAAGCTAAAAAAAAATAGCAACAACAAAATTTAAATTCATGGATGTCTGGCTCCCGAGAGTGTACCCATTTTACTGGCTGCCCTGCTGCCCTTCCCTATTCTTTCTTCCAGCCTGTAAGACAGATTCTTATCCTCATGCCCAGGACAGATGGAGCACTGACCCTCAGTAAAGCTGATGATGTTACTGTTGCTAGAAGCAGGGAAAAGGAGGCTGTCACCTCATCCATTTATTCAGGGTAATGTTGAGCTTACGAGCACAAGCCCAGGAAAAACTGAGGCTGAGATTCTTATTAGTAGGGTGACCTTAGGCTGGTACTCACCTCTTTTAAGTTTCAACCCTTTAAAATGGGGAGGATTGTCTAATTATAGGTCATTTGGGAATATCACGTAAGATAATGCATGTAAAGTGTTGAACATGTGGGAAGTGTTTTTACTTAAAGCTCTTTGATTCTGCCTTAGAGTTCAGATTTTGCTCAGATGCTTTACATATTATCCTGGTTAATTGTGCAGATCAGTGCTTCTGAATCTGGCCGATGTAAGAATTACTTGCCCAACATATAAATACTTGGGCTCCACTCCAAAAGATCTTGAATTAAGAGGACTGGGTTGGGGCTTATACCTTTCTATCTTTAATAAATTCCCAGGTGATTCTGATGCACCGCCAGGTTTGGGGGAACCAATCTATTAAGGTGGACATCTCAACCACATTGGGGAAGAGAGTCAGATTGGTTCCTCTCTAAGTTCCTTTCTCCCCTTTCTTGTTACCACCAGTACCCCTTTTGCCTAGTTCCTCCCCACTGGCTTGTGAGCGCTCTCCCCAAATCAAGGTCTATATGGCTTTGCAGTGAGTCAGTCAGTGGCACTCAGAGTATCATGGACCTGCCTCCCCAGAGACCTGGGAACCCAGTAGAGGGCTGGGAAGCAGGATGCCAGGGTTTCTAACCCCTTCTGACTCACTGGTGGCCCAGGGCCAATAGTCTCCAAGCCTCCGTTTTCTCATGGTCAATAGATAGGGAAATCAGAGTGGCCCATTTGGACTTTGCTTCCTTAGAAGTATGTCCCTGACACCTGACAGCCAGAGAGTGGGTAGGGGAAGATGTGAAAGAATTCTGCATAACTGTACTTTCCCATTGACATCTCATTTGATGTTCACAATGATAGGGCATAAAATCCAGTGTCTACCTTGGCCTATAACATCTTCTGTTATCTGTCCCTAGCATTTGCTCCAGTGTTATCTTATATACCACCCTTCTTTCTGGCCTCCTTGCTGTTCCTTGACTGTTCTACAACTTGTTCCCACCTCAGAGTTTTTGCACTATTTGCATGGCTTGGACTGCTTTTGCCAGTGGTGACCACAAGTCTGGTTCCTTCTTATTCATGCCTCAGCTTACATATTACCCACCCAGAGAGGCTTTTGCCAATCAGTCACCAAATCTAAATTGTCATCCCAAGCACTGGGACATATCATTCTGTAGTATATCATTGCATTTTAACTTTCATCTTGGCACTTGTCAGTATAGCATCTATTTTTGCTTCTTTATTAACTTTGTCCTGCCTGTCTTCCCTACTATAGAAAGCAAGCTCCATGAAAGCACATTCTTGTCTATGTGGTTTATTGCTGTGTTCCTAATATCTGAAAATCATTCAGTGAGTGTGTGGAATAAGCAAGTTAATGAGGTTGCCCCGGTATTAATAGCAATTTCTTTTTGGTCAGGGGACACTCAATGTTCTGAGCGGGGAAGTGACTGTCTCCAATACATTCCAGATCTTTTGTCTTCTTTCCTAGGTTCTTCCCGTAAAACCTGGCTGACACGCAAGCCTAGCTGGGGTGAGGCTTCCAGGTGTGACGAAAGTTTGGAGTTGCCCCATGAATGGGACTAAGGCTGATGTGGGGGTGAGAAGGCGGAAGAGCATACAAAAGGGAGAGGCAGGCAGGTACAGGTCAGCAGGGTGTAAACCTGGCCTTGGGTCAGGAAAAGGCGGGGTGACTTGGCTGTGTGTCAAGAAGTGTTTCCCTCCACATTCCCCTTGGGAGAGCCCTGACCCCAGGTGGCGTTGTTTTAGGGAAGCAGATGATCAGGCAGCTGCTGTGTGAGAACAAAGGTGTGGCCTGCGTGGCAACCATCCACTGAGTTCCTAGGCCCTATACCTATTACCCAAAGGAATAATTCCACAAAGGCACTTGGCCAAATAGGTGACAGGTAAGCTTCCATCTAAAACCAGCCCAACCATGGCATAAAATTTCAGACCTTTGGGGGAAAAGGGAGAAAAGAGGACTCTAAGGGAATGGAGTGGTCAAAGTGGAATACTCAGTGATGATGATGATGATAATTATAATGTCACTTTTTTTTTTTTTTAATCTTCACCCAAGGACATTTTTGCATTTATCTTCAGATAGAGAGGGAGGAAGAGAGAGAGAGAAACATTGATGTGAGAGAGACACATCGAGTGGTTGCCACTCACACGACCCCAACTGGGGCCGGGGACAAACTGCAACTAAGGAACGTGCCCTTAGGGAGAACCAAACCCAGGACTCTCTGGTCCGCAGGCCGACGCTCTAACCACTGAGCAAAATTGGCCAGGGCTATAATGTCACATTTATTGAGAGTTTATAATATGCCTGGCACTGTACTAACTGCTTTATATGTGTTCCCTTGTTCAATCCTCAAAAACCTCTTTCCAAAGTAGGCGTTAATGTTATTACTATTATTCCCTCTTCAGAGGTGTGGAAACTGAGGCTCAGTGAGATTAAATATCTTCTAAGGTCACACAGTAAGTAGAAAAGGCAAGATTCCAATTTAGGGCTGTTGTGATTCCAGTGCACCTTAGAACCTAGGCCTGGGGAGGGCTGCCCGGGGCAGGTTAAGAGGGCAGAGCCTGATTGACCCCTGCAAAAGTGGGGATGGGGAGGGACAGTGGGATAGACTATGTATAAATAGCAAGCCTGTTTTTATCCCTACACATGGGCCGAAGCAGCTCTATCTGGCACAATTTGAGGGCTCTGAATGCCAACCCAGCCCTGTGTCATACAAATCCTTCCCCAGCATGTCCCTAAGAGCTGAAATACCTACTAAGAGTCGTGTCTTTGGGTCAGGACATTGACTCCAGAAGACCCCTGTCAAAATAAATAGGTTAGACGAGAAACACATCAATCTCCTGGTACCTGTTGAACAAAGCAACCCTAGGCTAGCTAGCTGTGTCCAGTAGGAGTGGGGCTCACATTTTATATTAGGGAAGAAGGTAGTATTCAAAGGCAAGGGAAGTATGAGGCTTGTTTCACAACCTGTGTCTATCCACTCCGAGAGGCCTGGGAATTATAATCCATAGTCCAAAAATCCTAATGGATACGATATCCTCTTGGGGAAAGATGGGGGAAGCCACTCCCAGGCTGGAAGACTCGGAACCTCCTTTGCTTTTGCTGAATTGATACCAAGCGCCTGCAACTGCAACTCTGGTTACCCAGGGCTCACGAGACCTGCTGGCATTCATGTGTCTACTTTTTAAATAAAAAATAAGTGTATTACTATTTACTACTTGCAGTTTGGGTAGGCAAAGAAGCGAGTTTCCAAAACTAAGAAGCTGACATGGTGGAGAGCTCTGGTTTGGAGCAGGGATGGCCTTAGGGACCGGGCCTGGGAGAAGGGAAGGAACGAGGGGCGTCCAACGGCATAGCCCAGCTCAGCATTCACAAGGCTGCAGCACGCTAGGATTTGGGGAAAGGTAGGAACTGGTCCCCGCCACCTGCTGGTCACCAGTCTTACCCACCGTCAGGCCTTGGTTTCCCTGGCCTGGTCCCAAAAAATGTGAGTACCGCCCCTACTCCCGCCCCTACTCCCGCCCCCTTCCCCGCCGCGCCCGTGGGGTCGGGGGCTATGCTGCAGGCGCCGGGAACCGGGCGATTGTCCCAGCGCGGGAGGGGGAGGGGGCGGCGCGGGGCGGGGCGGAGCGTCGGCGCCTCCCGGAGCCTTATTCCCGGCCGCTCGCTGGCAGCGCTCAGTCGACCGAGGGAGCTGCACGCATCACGCGGCTGGCCACCCTGACCAAGCGCAGGGGCACGGGCGGACGGACGCACGCACGGACGGACGGAGTGGGCAGGCAGACGCCCAGCAGCCGCTAGCTCCGCGCAGGTCCCAGCAAGGCTTGCACTCAGAGGCCGGCAGCAGACCGTGCCCCGCGGAATCTCTTGCGCTCCTCCCGCTCGGGTTCCCGGGCCAGCGCCCCGTGGCCGCTGCCTCCAAAGTGATTGTTGCCTCGCAACCTCCGCCGGGTCCGGGACCATGAAGCTGCTGCCGTCGGTAGTGCTGAAGCTCTTTCTGGCTGCAGGTAAGAGGGCTGCCGACGCCCCCGGAGGTTGGGTTGGGGGATGGGGACGCTCTGCTGGGGGTACGGGGAAAGGTCGCAGCAGCGCCCCTGGCGTGGGCCACTTGGTGGGGCCCGTGCTCCCTGGCAGGCGGGCGCCGGCATCGTGTGGCGACCGGGGGGGTCTGGGCGGAGGTTCTGATGCGGCCTCACCCCCTCACTCGCAGTGCTGTCGGCGTTGGTGACCGGAGAGAGCCTGGAGCGGCATCGGAGGGGGCTGGCGGGTGGAACCAGCAACCTGGGTTCTCCCACTGAATCCACGGACCAGCTGCTGCCCTCGGGAGGCGGCCGAGGCCGGGAAGTCCTGGACTTGGAAGAGGCCGACCTGGACCTTTTCAGAGGTGGGTGTGGAAGCTGCCCATTCTCAGAACCTGGTGGGCAGGTGAAGAATAAGCAGATCCGGGATTGATGTTTGGGCACACCTGTGGGTTTGGGGTATTCATGGAGGACTTCAAGGAAAAGCTGCTGGGCCTGGCAAGCGTACTGAGGGATGCTGGAATATGATCCACTCTTTCTTGCCCTTGGCTCCCATATGCCAAGTGGCTGCCCTTCTGGGTACCTTGGAGCAAATTGGGACAGGCAAGGTGTCTGGGGTCTGTACATTTCTCTGAGGTATGCTGGATGGTAGGAACAAGGAATGATTGAGATGCTTTCCCTAGAGTTTCTATGTAAAATGGGTACAAGTCTTAATTTTCACATCAAGTGACAATTATGTAGAAAATAACAGATATGGAGATGCTAGGCACATGGTAGGTATATAGTGTTAGTCTTCTTTATCCACCTGTCTCCAAGTTGAGGAAACAGAAGGAAACGAGAAACTGCTGGTCTCCTCAGGTGAAGCCAGCACCTCCTGGGGAGGCTATGGATGATGAACACTGGGTCCCTAGGGAGCTTATTGAAATGCTGGGTGTCTACAAATCCTACCCAAAGCCTGGAGACTTCCTGACCACCTTGAGTCCCTGAGAGAAACTCCAAGGGAGGAAGGACCCAGTGGGATCCTCCAACCAGCAGAGATTGTTATGGCTGAGTATAGGCACAGACAGGGCAGAGTCCAGAGCCTCTGAGTTGCCTGCTTCCCTGGCCCCAGCCACCTGCAGCAATTCTTGAGGGTGGAGCCAGGGACTGAGCCCTAGAGGACCTGAATGACTATATTTGGTTGGAAAGCTACCCACCTGTTCTAACCCCTCCCCCAGCCCCTCATCTCCCTCCTTACTCAGTGCTTTCCTTAGGTGCTGTCTCTGCCTTGTACAAATCAAGAGTCTGCTGTAAGGATGAACTGGGCTCCCACCCTTCATCCTCTCACAGTGGACCTTTGGGGTCATCCCTGAATGCTCCTGGCCCTCTCCCTCTAGGATGGGCAGAGCTGGGCTCTGACTCACCCTCCACCCACAGGGCTGCTCCTCATACCTCTGCAGACCTGACTCACTGCTCCCTCTGCCTGGCAGGAGACTGGCTGTCACCCTGTCACTCTTTCCCTGCCCTCTCTGATTGGCTTGGGCTATCTGTCTCAATTTCACCACAGCTGTGTTCACTGGGTTCCTCTGAGCATCTGCCTCACCTTCTGAGCTCTGAAGGGGCCTGGGTCTGCACTGGAGGAAACTGGGGACTGTGGGACTACTGGCACCTGTCTTTCTTCCCCTCTTTTGGCTTTGCTGGGTGAAGGCTACTTTTCGGGTCTGGGTATCCTATCACTTAAAATAAATTTTACCATTTATTAAGTGCCTACTGTGTTCTAGGCACTCAACATGTTATTGTGGGTTAATTAATCCTTGTAGCAACCTTCTGAGATGGGAACTCTTACTGTCCACTTTTTACCCAGAACCCCAAGATTTAGAGAGATTAAGTAACTTGCCCAAGATCACATGGCTGAAATTGGAACACAGGTCTGCTGACTTCAGAGCCCATTCATTGTCTCATTGCTGGTTCAGCATCCCAGGTGCTCTAGACTTGTGTTGGGGAGGGGCAGGGGTGTTTGAGGCACTTGGTGTATTGGGTATGGATATGGAGTCCAGAAATTATATTTCTTATTCCAATCCTATATTACCTTCTGTGACCTTGGACAAGTCAATGCCTTTTGGGACCTCAAGTTTTTTACTTGAAATGGAAAGCCATAATATTCTTTAAAAAATATATGTGTGTGTGTGTGTGTGTAAAATCTATATATTGATTTGAGAGAGAGAGAAACATCAATTGGTTGCCCTCCACGCCCCCGCAACCTGGGCATATGCCCTAATGGAGAATTGAACCACCAACCCTTCAGTGCATGGGATGATAATGCTCAACCAACTGAGCCACACCGGCCAGGAGTGGAAAGCCATAATATTCTTTGAAGTCATTTCCAGCTTGAGGATCCTAGGTCTCCAGTCTAATGTTTGATGCTTACCTGTGTGCCAGATACTTGGCTACAACCATGGACAGTAGGCACCTTTTTTTCTGCTGGGGGCAGGGAAGAGGGGACTGGTGTCAGACTCCTGGGCTGATGGGTATAGCCCATGATCAGTCCTAGCTGGATGTCTATGTGAGGTGGCTTTTCCCTTTTGAAGTGTGGAAAGAATGGAGGGAGTCATCGTTGTTCCAGTTCCTTCTGGGTAGTTCCTTACTTTTCACCTTTCTACCCCTTGTACACACTGTACACCCCATCCTAGAGAGCTATAAACAGGACATTTGGGGATAAACGTAAATGGACCTTTGAGAAAAGTGGTGAACTGCAAATGGCACAGAGCAGGGTAAATATTTTGCCTGAAGTAAAAAAAGCAAGGCCCTGACCAGGGATGGCTTACTTGCTGTCCCTGAGCCTGGCTCCGCGCTGGGCTTATGGTACCCTGGTGCTAATAGGTACCCCAGGGGAGGCCAGCTGGACATGGGTAGTGTTCTTATTTTAGGAGCACCCCCCCCCAAAAAAAAACCTCCAAGAACCTTCTCCAACAGCAGTTTATATCTCTGTATTCTTGCAAGTGGGTCACTGAATGTAGCATCAGAAAATGAGGTTGATTTAAGGCCAAAATAGAACCAAGTTGGCATGGGGCAATAGGAGATGGGATGGCCAGTGGGGTGGGTGTGAGGTTGGTAGAATTGCCCAATCAGCTGCAGTTATTCAGCAGAAGCTTGCATTCTTGGAATGAGGTTCTTAAACTGAGTTTGTGAAATGCTTTCCTAGAGACCCCCACTAGCCTCTACTTCCTCTACCATATTCTGGTGGTTCTGCCCAGTCTTCCTTCAGCCCTTGGGAGGCACTGAGCCAACGGGTCTTCCCAGGCCTCCGACTTCAGGTGGAATCAAGAGTACATCCTCCTTCCAGATGCTATGCTATTCTGATTCCTTCTTGGTGTGTGTGTGTGTGGGGGGGGGGGGAGTCAAAGACTTAACAAAGTACTTTTGGCTTGCAGCTCCTTTCTCCTCCAAGCCACAAGCTCTGGCCACACCCAGCAAGGAGGAGCGTGGGAAAAGAAAGAAGAAAGGCAAGGGGTTAGGGAAGAAGAGAGACCCATGTCTTCGGAAATATAAGGACTTCTGCATCCACGGAGAATGCAAATATGTGAAGGTGCTCCGGGCTCCATCCTGCATGTAAGTGTTCCTGCCCCGAGGCTGACTCTCAGCACACTCTTTGTCAGCCACGTGACTGTTCCTAGTTGTCACTGTTCCTTGAATTCATAATTCCACCCAGTTTCTTCTTAACCTCTGGGCGGAAGTTCGGAGGAAGGGAAATATTTTTAGTCAGAGGAAGGGGCTTCCCCAGCATAGGCTGCAATTTCCTGTGATGCAGGTCTGTGACGTTCTTTCATCCTTGGGGACATTTCCTCCTTGCTCAGAAATAAGCATGTGGCTAGGAGGGCTGATACCTGAAGATAGGTCCTTCATTCCCTGCCTCATGCCGGCTCCAGTAGAGTATTTCTGGGTGGAGCGGAGCTCCTGTGGCCCCCTTTCCCAAGTCTTGCAGGCAGGTATTGTGTACTTGAACATGTGTGCACATGAGTGAGCTAATATGGGTTGAGTCTAAGGAATGGCAGGACTGCACAGAGAGTGATCATCATGGGAGTAGGAAGAAGCCCACCTCCTTCCTTTTTCCTCCCTCTTCCCCCCAGCAAGGGCCAGGAAGTGGTTGGTATTGGCCTTTGGCCATGGGGTGGGAGAACACTTCCTTTGTGCAAGATTAACAGGAAATGGAACCCAACTCAGCCCCCAGGCATCAGCCCCCAGTAAGGCAGCACCAGACTTTCCTAGGCAGGGGTGTGGGTGGAGGGTTCATGGGTTCCCCAGCTGATCTGTTAGGCCAAGCCCAGTAAATGGCTGTCTTGGCAACCCCTCAGGGATGACGGCACTGCCATGCTCTCTGGCAGGCATAATGTCGCCAGTGTGCCTGAGGCCAACACCCATGTCAGGCTGTAAACATCTACTCTCTTCTGCTGGGCATGAGGCCCTTTGGGGAGGCAGGCTCTGTGACCTGGGAGATCCTGGAGAGGGCCAAGAGACTATTGGGTGCACACCACCTCCCAACCTGTCAAGAAGACTGGCTGCCTGGCATCTCTTCTACTGTGATGGTGCAGATCCCTTGGCTTTTTAAAGCTTCCTTGCCCCTTCTAATCTCACATAGCAGAGCTGCCCTGTACTTGGCAAGTGACTGACAGACTCATTACTCCCCACCATGTCCACGGTCATTTGTGTGTCCTCTCCTATAACCTCCTTGTCAGGACCTTGATATTGGAGGGGGTTGTTTAAGAATGACATAGACAGTCTCCACATTATCCTTCCTAAGGTCTTGGGACAGGACAGGAAATGTTTGTCTTAAATTTATAAAATGGCATCATTAGCACAGGGTGGAGGCAGTGACTCTGAGGGTAGTCAAGAGGGATTGAGGCCAGGAATCTGTCTGGGCCAAACTAGTTCAGGGCGTTGGTGGATGGACTTCCACTGTTCAACTGAGAACCCTTGTAAGATTGCTGTCATGGAGAGCGGGGCTCAGCCAATCACCTAAGCCCAGATAACCTAGATAAGGGTGCCCAGGGCCAACGTGACCCTAGGGGTGGTGATGATAACCACTGTGATGCTTCTGTCCTTTGCCCTGAAGCTTCACAGTTTACATTTAACTTGAGTTGAGCCCAACAGGTGTATGTTGAGCACCTACTTGATGCCAGCTTTTCTTGGGGATAAGGAGATATAGTACTGTCATGGGACTCTCAAAAACCCTCTCTCTGCTGGGTAGGTAGTGCTTGTTATCTCTACTTGAAAGATGAGGAAACCGGAGCCAGGAAGTAGGAAGTGATTTGCCTGAGATCAACAGCTAAATAAGTGGATGGAAACTCAGGTGCCTGATTTCCAATCCAGCATGCTTTTTATGTCCCCGGGCTGCTCTGGGTGTTGGCTTGCATCCTTCTTCTCTGTCTGTCCTTACAGAGTTTGAGTGGGATTTTATAGAGGGCTGCTGTTAGCCTAGCAGTCTAAGGCTTTTACTAGGTGAAGAGAACAGCAATCTGATTTGAAGACTTTGTGTCTGCTTCCTAGGTGTATTTTCAAGGGGCTGGATTTCGTCTGGTGTGGCTGCCTCCTGCCTCCTGCCTCCAGCCCTTGGTATTCAGGCAGAAGCCAGCAAGAAGTCGCAGAGCTGGTTTGGGGGAATGTGACATCTGGGCAGCTACATCTGGGGCCCTTTGCGGCTCCTCCTTGCCTCCAGACCCAGGAACCACCACAGGGTGTGTCTAGGCTGCTGTGGTGAGCTTGAGGCTAGCTGGCTTCCTAAACCAGCCTTCCATAGCCACCATCCACAGGAAAACTTTTTTTGTGTCACCAGCCAAATGTTACCCTCAAAGAACAGTTTCCTGGGGCTTCTGACTGGCTGCTGACCCAGATATTGGCTGCAAGTTTCCTGTGGTGGAGGAAACCTGGGAGCAGTTGGGCTGAGGGGGACTCAGAGGTGGCACAGGGACAGGCTTGGGGGCTCTACTTGCCTCACTGCCAGGTGCTGAGAAGGAATGGTGAGCCCCTTCTCTTTGGATCCCTCTGACTTGGGTGCCCCATTCCTCAGTTATGGACAGTACTTTCTGAAGTCTGATTATAAAATAATGCACACACATGTGGATTATGGAGTGCTTTTATCTATATTATTTGATCTTCACAGTACTCTATATGATAGGCATTTATTACTCCTTTATTTTACATGAGAAAAACCAAAGCTTGGAAAGGTAAAAAAGTAACTTGTTCAAGATCACCTGGCTAGAAATAGCAGCAGAACCAGTCTGGAGCTCATGTATTCTGAGATCCCTGCACCTCCTAGAGTAAGGTGGAGAAACTCAGTTTGGAAGATGTCTCCGGACCGTAGAGGGTTCTTGCTTCTGTTGTAATACAAGTTCTGAAATGGGTCACGGACATGGGTAGGAGGGACATGTCCCAGTTTGATGGATCACTCACTCGCTGGCTCTGGGGAAGACATGCGATCTTGCCCCCACCCGGGATGTTTGGAATGCACTCATCCTCCCTCCTTCCCTGGGGAAGACAGGAGTCTGCTGCAAAGGGAGGGGGAGGTGGGTAATATTAGGATGTTTACATTATTATCCTTTTGACTCAGGGTGGGAGTGGAGGGATTATGTAACTGAATTGCAGGACTCTGAGGCCAAGCTTTATTTCTATCATCTGAGTAACTACCTGTGGGGTTTGAATGATAGGCTGCAAGTGAAAAACAGGCTCAACTTCAGCTTTCCTCCCTCGGGAGAGCATAGTCTCTGAAGTCATCCAGACTCCTGGGTTGAACCCTGCCTCTACCACTCTCTAGCTGTGTAACCTTGGGGAAATTATCTAAGAAGTTAAGCCTCAGTTTTTTTATCTTTAAAATGGGGATGGTAATTCCTACTTCATAGAGATATTTTTAAGATTAAATGAAATGATCCTTGTAAATAAATTAGCACAGAGTACCTGGCTTATTTATTAATCAAGTTAATAACAACAACAACAATAGTAATAGAGAGCAGAGTCAAACAGACTTAGGAACTCATCAGCCCATCAGATTCTCTTGGGGTAACCTACACTGTTCATGAATTTGGAATCTGCCAAGACTGGTTTCTAGTCTTAGCCCTGCTGCTTTCTAGTTGTTTAACTTTGGCAAATCAATCTCTCTGACCCTTAAGCTTAGTCTTTCAATCTGTGAAATTGGACTGTACCTGCCTACCAAGGTGTTCCGGGTCTCAGTTGAGCTTGTAGATAAGGATAATGTCTTAAAAACTGTTAACTTCTGTGCATGAGTGATTTTCCCTGGGTATTCCTGAGAGCTTCCTCCACGTCCTGGCAGGATGGGGGTCGTGGTTTTGCCCATCTGAGCCAATGAGACAGATTCATGGAGTGTGCTCTGCTGTGTGTATAGGGAACCTGACCTACATTTATCCTGAAGTGGGGTGTTCCTCAAAGCACCAGGAGGAGCTGGGGCCCGGAGAGGTACTGGGCAGGAAGACAGGGGCAGCCTGGCCCCTCCACTGCTGCCAGAACTGGACAGGTCTGCTTTGAGGGTACCTGTCCTTATTTTGAGGCAGCAAGTGCACAGCCTGCTTCCCAGAAGGAGGTTGAGCTCAGTATAGAGGGCCAATATTTTCAGTGATTCCTTCAGTAGCTAGTGGTCTAAAGTCCCAGGCAGAGCCTGTCCGGTGTGGCTCAATGGTTGAGCATCAACCCATGTACCAAGAGGTGGCTGGTTCGATTCCTGATCAGGACACGTGTCCAGGTTGTGGGCCAAATCCCCAGTGGGGGGCATGCAGGAAGTGGCCAACTGATGTTCTCTCTCTTTATTGTTTCTATCTCTCTTTCCCTTTCCCTTCCCCTCTCTCTAAAATCAATAAAGAAGGGGGAAAAAAGTCCCAGGCAGACAGTGCGCTGCACCCCCTGGTTGGGGGCTGGGCAGTTATGCAAGTGAGTGGGCAGCACATTGAGCTCAGAGTCAGACAATCCAGTCCACACCTCTGTCCTGCTGCATGCCCATGGGCAAAACAGCTCTGCCTTGCTGCGTGCCCATGGCATTCCTGCCTACATCAAAGGTCTCCTAGTGCTCAGAGAAAGGAAGGGACAGAAATGTGCTTGTTCAATTGTAAGCACTTCCGACTCTTCCTAAGAGCTTCCAGGAAATGCTTTGTGTTAGAAGAGGTAGTTGCCATCTGATTTATTTCTAGAGTGAGAAGAGCCAAGGGGTTGTTTTGACATTCTTCCATGCTCTGGCAGGACAGCTGGGCACAATGTTACCTTGGTTTGTTTGCTTTGTCCTGTGATGAAGGAGGCCCCGTAGCCCAGCATTCAGAGGCCAGAGGCCAAAGTTGAGCTCTCAAGTTGGGCCCTGAACCCAGGGGGAGCTGGGAGTTAAATGAAGGGAACTTGAGAAAAGTGACTCCTGGCAAAGGCACAGGACCTATTAATAGGCTGGGTAGTGGCGGAGAGGGACTGGACTAGGGAAGCATTGATGGGGAAGGCCGAGTTTATTTCTGGGTCAGAGTGTTGAGGGGCCTCACTAGGGGGAGTGATACTGAATCTCCTCAGCTCAACCCACCAGCTCTTGTGACTAAGTCCCCTTGGTCAGCTTAAACAGACCATCTTCCACACATGCAATAAATCATCCACACGTGGAACATATCTAGCTGAGACCTTGAAGTCCTCCCTCCCTTTTTCCTTGCCTGGAGCAGGAATCTCAGTCCAGAAAATCAGAGGGAGTGGAGAAAGGGGGTGAGGAGTCAGGGAAGAAGGCCACAGAGCCCTCAGAGGGGACTTAGAAGAGTCTCTACTGGAGAAGGATAGAGGGCAGGGATCATGGTCAGGAACTCTTAGGACAAGGGTGTGAGAAGTGGGATTTGGCTCATGTTGGTGGAACATTGATAAGAGTGAGAGGCCAAACCACTAACCTGATCTTTGCTTTGTTCTGTCTTGAACCAGCTGCCACCCAGGTTACCACGGAGAGAGGTGCCATGGACTGAGCCTCCCGGTGGAAAATCGCTTGTCTACTTATGACCACACAACCATCCTGGCTGTGGTGGCTGTGGTGCTGTCATCTGTTTGTCTGCTTGTCATTGTGGGGCTTCTCATGTTTAGGTGAGTACTGGGGCCCCTGCAGGCTGTTTCTGCAAATCCCTTCCATTCCTTGTCTTCCTCCTGGGCCTTCTGCCTGGTGACCACATGAGCTCTCCAACCTTCTCAAATTCTGGGCTTGGATTCTGATTGCATTCCTGAGGACAGGTTCTCTAAGGACCTGATTTTTTTGGTGTGGCATGAGTCCTGTGTCTAGAGCCCAGGGCAAAACTCACCAGGCCATAGCAGGTCCTGCTACCCACAGCAGGCCTGGTAACCCACCCATGGAGCCACATCTCCACTCAGTTCTTTCTCCTGGCTCTGTTCTTTGATGGCATTGGTGTGTGGTTTGGTAGTCAAGGCATGGGTAGTGATTGGTATATCCTTTCAATTCTGAGGCATTTGGCCCTCAGGCCATGCTTCCAATCCAGGTTATGTTCTAGATGGGGGAGACCTACCAAGCACTTGGTGCTCATTTGTCCTTTTCAAGCAGCACAACTCATTTATTGTGAGATCTGGATCAAGTCACCTATCTTTCTGAGGGTTGTAATCTTTCAGTGATTGTAATCTCTATCCACCTACCTCATAAGGATGTTGTGAGGATTGTATAAATGAGGTGTAAATTTCTTAGTAAAGTGTAGCCTGCTGCTGTTAGAGACAATTTGGGTCCCTTGGGGCAATTGGACCTTTGCCCAGAGGTGTGTTGGGCTGCCATCCCTCTGGGCTTTTCCAAGTAGTGGATGGAACCACCATGGCAGTGTCCTCTAGAAGGACCCTCTCTGGGACCTGCACCCTGTTATAGCAGGCAGAGCTTGCTCACAAAACTTAACCTTCCTCAGGTACCATAGGAGAGGAGGTTATGATGTGGAAAATGAAGAGAAAGTGAAGTTGGGCATGACTACTTCCCACTGAGAGAGACCTGTGCTCAAGGTAATGGTCCATTCTTTGCCCCATGGCAGCATCACCAGCTTTCCTGGGTCTGTTTCAAGGCATACTGAATTCTTCTCTTGACCTAGGGGTTGGCTTGACCTGGGAGGGCAAGCTACTATAGATCCAGTCAGGGTCCCATTGCAGAATTGTTTTCAAAAAGTTCGTCAGTACTTCATCTCCACTTGGGGTGAAAGTTGCTAGAGAGACACCACTGAGAGGACAGTGTCTCCTGCCCTCATCCCCTCTCCTATCCTCTCCCAGATTATTTTTTCCCTTATTAAGACTGTACCTAGGAGACTCTTAAGACCTCTTAAGACTGGCTCCAGTTTTAAAATTCTTCCTCTTGCCCAGCTGGTGTGGCTTAGTGGTTGAGCATCAACCACTGCACCAGGAGGTTGTTGGTTCAATTCTGGTCAGGGCATGTGCCCAGGTTGTGGGCCAAATCCCCAGTGGGGGGCATGCAGGAGGCGGCCAACCAATGTTCTCTCTCATTGATGTTTCTATCTCTCTCCCACTCCCTTCCTCTTTCTAAAATCAATAAAGAGAAAAAAAATTTAATTCTTCTTCTTGTGCTTTAGGAATCAGCTGGGGATTGCTACCTCTGAGAAGACACAAGCTAATCACAGACTCTACAGAGGGGAAGGACTTCACAACTAGCCATGAAGACTCCTTCATCCCCAGTTGCCATCTAGATTGGGCCTCCCATAATTGCTTTATCAGAGCCTTCAAGTGCCAAACAGAATATGTCCAATGGGATCTGGGTCAGAAGGAAGCAAAAGTGAGGGACCGTCGTGCCCTTCTGATTCCCCTCCACCAAACCCCACTTTCCCTTATAAAGTTTGTTTAAACACTTGTCTTCTGGATTAAGATGCCAGTTAATTCCATATGCTCCAGGATCTTTGACTGAAAAAAAAAAAAAAAAGAAGGAGAAGGAAAGGAAGAAGGAAAGATTTGTGGACTGGAAGAAAGTAACAAACATGGAAAAGCCACAGACTCAAGTAGTCACCAAGGGATCTGCCATTTGGATCCTCTAGTGCTGGATTTGATGAGCTAACTGTGAAATACCACAAGCCTGAGAACTCTGAATTTTGGGACTTCTACCCAAATGGAAAAATAACAACTATTTTTTTTTTGTTTGTAAAATGCCTCTTAAATTATATATTTATTTTATTCTATGTATGTTAATTTATTTAGTTTTTAACAATCTAACAATAATATTTCAAGTGCCTAGACTGTTACTTTGACAATTTCCTGACCCTCTACCCCGCATTCCCCCATCACCTGGCTCAGCATCACCCTCTTCTGCCACCAATCAGAGATGGCTCTATGACCCATCTGTAATCCATTGTCTGTCTACATTTCCGAAGATCTTCCATGATCAGAGTGCCACAGGGTGCGGTCTGTATGGTCAGGATGTAGGAGTTAACTTTGTCAGATCCACTCTATGAGTTGGACTGCAGTCTTGCCTAGGCGATTTTGTCTACTGTTTGTGTTTTGAAAGCCCAAGGTGCTGATGTCACAGTGTAACAGATATCGGTGTTACCCCATGTCCTCTCCCTGCCAAATCTCAGAAGAGGTTGGGCTTCCATGCTTGCAGCTTTCCTGCCCCTTACTCCCTGTAGCCCCAGGCTCACAGAGTGGGAGCTCACTCTCCCTTGTGTCAAGACATTTCTCTTACCCCTGCCATTCTTCTGGTGCTACTCCATGCAAGGGTCAGTGCAGCAGAGGATAATTGAGAGAAGTATTAGCGGAAAAAAAGGCTGAGGAGGAACAGGAAACATTGGAGCTGACTGTTCTTGGTAACTGATAACCTGTCAATTGCTACAGAGAAAGTTGGAGGTGAGGACAGCCTTTGTGTAAACCTACCCACCTCACCGAAACTATGAACGTATGCTGTCATGGTCCCTTCTGGAAGTTTCTGGTGCCATTTCTAAACTGTTACAACCTATATTTCCAAAGCTGGTTCATATTTGTACTTTGCAATTCAAATAAAGATAACCCTTACTCCATAGCCTTCTGTCTGCTTGTTTTAACTGGGAATTTGTTTGATATCGGTATTTTCTAAGCCCTGATATGACATTAGATCTGTGCCAGGCCTGTTTATATACACTATTTCAGTATCCCCAACAACCCTCTGATGGAGATACTATTTTCCCAGTTTTACAAAAGAGGAGGTTCAGAGAGGCTATATAATTTGCCTAAGGATACACAATTGGTAAGTGACAGCTGGGACGAGTAGTCTGACTCCAATCATTTGTCTAAATACTTACATCACACTACCTCTGAGGCGAGAGACAATGGATCTTTCACATGAAAGTTTGGCTGGCTATAACCAGGAAAACATTTACTCATTCAGTCAATAGACCCTTGACTCAGGGCCTGATCCTTGGCTGTATATGCGAGCAAGCGTTGCTCTTAGTGGAAACAAGGCACCTTTGACTCGGCTTTCCTGCTCCACAGCCAATCCATCAGCAAGTTTTATCAGCCCTACCTTTAGAATATATGCCGAATGCAGCCACTTATCACTACCACTGCCATCACCCTAGTCCAATTCATCATTATCTCTTGTCTGGACTCTTGCAATGGCCTCCTGTCTCCTTTTTTCACTTTGCTGCCATATAGCCCATTTCCAATATAATAGCCAGAGTGGTCATTTAAAACATAATCCAGATCTTGTCAGCCTTACAGACCTTCCCTGACCACTCAGTTATACAATAGCATATTCCTCCCCAACCCCACTCTTCTTATTCTCCTTATATTGTTTTATTTTTCTTTATAGCTCTTATTACCGCTAACATATTATTTGTTTATTATCTTTCTCTTCTTACTAGGATGCTAGCTGAACGAGGGTAGGTGTACATTTCTTCAATCCCAGATTCTAAAACAATGCAATTGAGTTGTAGGCACTCAATGTTTGTTACGTGGAGGAATGAATGTAAGAAATGACTAAAATCCACTCCAAGGCCAGCAAGTGAACAGATATGTGATCGAATGCCTCCCTGGAAGTGTGGCTGGGTTCAAAGAAGGGCTTTATTGGGGAGAGTGGATGGGAATGACAAGATGAAAGTGAAATTTGGGGCAAGTCATGTGCCATGGTGTCCTGGGTGGATTGAACAGACACCTATTGCAGTACCACTGGACCAGTGCCACTGGACTGCCTCCTTCTCATCCTCTTCTCTTAGGGAGCTGTGACACTCTGAAGTTTCTCTAGGAGCTCACACAGAAATCCTGTTTGTACTTTGAATATTCTTTTAAGACTTTGGGCAGTAGTAACTACCAAGGCTGAACATATACACATGCTATAATCCAGCAATTCCACTCCTAGGGATACTCACAGAAATGGGTATACATGCTCACCAAAAGATATGTACAAGAGTTATTTTAGCATTATTTACAATAACTGGAAACTACCCAAATATCCATCAGTATTTGACAATGAAATGAATAAAATTGTGACATATATATGTATATATATAAAAAATGAAATACTAAAGAGTAATATGGATGAGTCTCACAGCATAATGCTGAGTGAAAGAAGCCAGACACAAAAGGGTACATTCTGTGCTATTCCATTTATTTAAAATTTAACAACAGGCAAAACTAATCTAAGGAGAAAGAAATTGGAAAAGTTATTCCTATCTGGATTGGTAATGGCTGGAGGGGCAGATAGGGGGATTTCTGACAAAATCATGTTTCGTGATCTAAGTGCTAGCCAACCAGGTGTATTCGCTTTGAGAAAATTCATTGAGTATCTGTATCTGTTTTAAACATGAATAAACATATTTTTTAAAACTTGGATTAGGGGACTCTTGCTATTTGCATTATATAAAGCTCTGTAAAGTACCAATGTATTACTTTGGTAATCAGAGAAAATAGTACATATGTAAACATTCACGGTGGAGCAGTGAATTACTTTGAACTCTTCATGGGACTCCCTTTCCTGCTTGCTTCCAAGCTTCAAGCCTCCAGCCCTCACATGGGGCTGTGGCTTTTCTGAGCATACTTTGTTTCTCCAGCTAATGTTTCCTGTGGGCTCTGGGCTTCCTGCCTTTCAGCTACTCTCTCCTCTAGCCCCTGCTGTTGATGGGAGTTCTTCTTGGCATTGTGAGAGCTCCCCTGGGAAGCTACTTGGCAGACACGCTGACTCTGGGAGCCTCTGAACCTTCAGCCACTTCTCAAAATTGGCCAGCTCACTAAGCATGGCGCACTGGGCCACGCACTTTACAGGCATTGTCTCAGCTATATCTCATCACAACCTAGGAGGTAGGTGCTCTGATCCTACCCATGTTGTAGGTGCCAAAGGTGAGCGGTAGAGGCAAGATGTGTATCAGGAAGCCTGCCTCCCGAGCCTTCACTCTAACCACTGAACTACATTCCCAAATGAGTTAGTTCTCAGCGTCAGATTTATTTTCTTCTTCCCATAGCCAGAAATGGTATAGTAAAGGAATCTTATGAGCCCTGGCCAGTTTGGCTCAGCGGTTGAGCCTCAACCTGCGGACCAGAGAGTCCTGGGTTTGGTTCCCACTAGGAGCACGTACCACAAAAAAAAAAAAAAAAAGAAATCTTATGAAAGGGATCTGAGCAACTCCTTAGAGCTCAAGAGTGTCTTCTCCTGCCCCAGTTATTAGATGCACAGAAGAAGGCCTGAGGTGCTACTATATCAGGGTGCAGGGGAAGGAATAAGAGTGCAAGCTGAGCCCTGGCCGGTTTGGCTCAGCAGTTAGAGCATCGGCCTGCGGTCCCGAGAGACCCGGGTTTGGTTCCCGCTAAGAGCACGAACTTCGGTTCTTTGTCCCCGGCCCTGGTTGGTCATGTGGGTGGCAGCCACTCGATGTGTCCCTTTCACATCAATGTTTCTCTCTCTCTCTCTCTGTTCCTCTCTCTCCCTCTCACTCTACCTGAACAAAAAATGGAAAAATGTCCTCGGGTGAGGATCAAAAAAAAAAAAGAGTGCAAGGTGACAAAAACTTGGGTCTGAGTCTAGGCTCTACTGTTTATTATGCATGATACCTGACCTCTCTGAACCTGTTTCCCTATCTATAAAATACAGATAATAAGAATATCCAGCCCTGGCCAGTTTGGCTCAGCAGTTAGAGCGTTGGCCTGCGGTCCAGAGAGATGCGGGTTCGGTTCCCACTGGGGGCATGTACCTCGGTTGCAGTTTGTCCCTGGCTCTGGTTGGGTCGTGCTGGTGGCAGCCACTCAATGTGTCCCTTTCATGTCGATGTGTTTTTTTTTCTCTCTCTCTCTCCCTTCCACTCTATCTGAACAAAAAATGGAAAAATGTCCTCAGGTGAGGATTTAAAAAAAAGACTATCCATCTGGAAGAGTTGCAAAAATAATATATGTGAGTACGTGCCTAGCTCAGGGCCAGGCACATGATAGATGCTCTGTAAATGTTGGTTATCTTCAGCAACCTTACCAAGGAGCTAATTAATAGCACATCAAGGACTATAACCCAGCCCTCTGATTCCCCATCCACAATTCTTTCCTTAGAAACAAACAATGCTTTTCAATCTCTATTTTACATTTTAATGTCAACTTTGGTTTCAAAGGAGCCCCAGAGGGTCTTAATAAATATTTGTGGATTTAAGAAGCCATGGAACAGCAACTATGTCCAAATATATCACTTCAACTCTGGCTGGCCTGAAATTCTTCTCTTTGTCAACAATGCCTGAAATTCAAGCTTCCTGTTTGAGAATGCTAATACTCCTGGGAATAGCCAAGGGTTAAGAAGCTGGCATTCTTTGTTAGTGTAATTCATTTTAGCGTCATTCATTCAGCAAATATTTGTGGAGGCCTCCCTGTCACCTTCCAAATGAGATTCATGCTCTGAAGGAGGGGACATTTTGATGAAGTAAGAGTAGAGTAAGAAAAGAAGTAATTTTGGAACCAAAGCACTCATTTATTCATTTTTTTTTAAATTGACTACTGGCGTGTATAATGTGCCATGTACTATTCTTGTTGTTGGAGAATGGGGACACAACAGACACATGGACCAACAATACATGTATAAATAAAGAAATAGGATAATTTCAGAAATAAGTAACACATACAAAAAAGTGATGTGCTAAAGAGTCAGTGGGAACAGAATTAATTTATATAAGCAGCTCAAAGAAGGTGACTCTGAGGAGGTAATATCTGAACTGGGATAAGTCAGGATCAGGCATGTGTAGGCCTGAGACAAAAATAAGCTTAATATGCATAAGGGACAGAAAGAGACCCCTGAGCTGCAGTATAGCCATTGGAGATTGAAGAGGGAGGCAACATTTGATCACATGAAACCTTGTAGACCACAATTTGGAAGCCAGTGAGTGTTTTGAGGAAGGGAGTGACATGACTTGATTTATGTCTTAAAAATAAAAATATGACTGCTATACAGAGAAGGGGCTCTCAGGGGTAAAAGTGGAAGAAGCAAGACCAGTTAGGAGACTTTTGCAGTCATCTAGGTAAGACATGCTGGTGGCCAGGACTAGGGTGGTAGCAGAGGAGGTGAGAAATGGTCAGATTCAGGATATGTTTCAGAGGAATCACCTAGGATATAAGCTGATGGGATGAATGCAGGTGTTATGGAAAAAGAGAACAATCAAGGATGATTTCTTGGATTTCAGCCTGAGAAACTGGGTAAATGACGGTTCTGTTCATCAAGTTAGGAAAGAATAGGAAGTTCAGAAGGTCCATGGAAATTAAGAACTCTTTTGTGGCCGTGGCTGGTTTGGCTCAGCGGTTAGAGCGTCAGCACTCGAATGGGTCATGGGTTCGATTCTGGCCAAGGACATGTACCTCGGTTGTGGTTCATTCCCGGCCCTGGTCAGAGTCATGCAGGAGGCAACCAGTCAATGTGTCCCTCTCACGTCGATGTTTCCCTTTCTCTCCCTCTCTCCCTCCCACTCTGTCTGAAAATAAATAGAAAAATATCCTCAGGTGAGGATTGAAAAAAAGAACTCTTTTGTGGACATATTAAGCCTAAATGGGGTGAAGAAGTGTAGTACAGAGAGGGCAGTGGGAGGA